GGTGGCAATGGAAGCAACACCTACACGAATTCTCGTCCGCTTGCCTTGACTAAGTACTTTAAAAGCGTTGGAAGACAGACAACAGCGTCTAGAACATCAGCGACAGCGCCGTCACGCGTGCCCCCGAATCGATCGTTCTTCCTGGAAAAAAAAGCCTGCACCGGGCTAATCCGACGTGGGATTTCTGACGCTTCATCAAGCCTCTCGGCGAGCTCCTGTCTTCCGAGTGTACTTGTCTGTGGAAGCAGCTTTTATGTGAAGACGTCAGATGTGGCAAGGACCATGATTTCTCGGAGCGAGGCGGAGATGATTCCTGTCGTGTCTCAAGCCACCGCGCCCCTGCAGGAAGACAAAGAACATCGATTCGCCGCAATGGAAGCTCTTCGGATTCAAGCACCACCCTGCCTCCTTGTCAATCTGCCTTTAACTCACCGTTCCTATGCTCAGAGGCCTTTCCAGTCAATGGGTCGTCTCGCGCAGACCTACCAAGCAGCTTCACATCGTGCCGTCGAAGGAGCCCGAGGGATAAGGGTACCTGTGCTGCGATGTTGTCAATGATAGTTGACGGGTTTGCCAATTAGATCAGTGGTTCAGCTGGGCTCGCGGTGGCTAGGTGTGATCGGTATTGTACCAACGGCTGTCATGCAGTGAAACGGGGGCGATCCAGGCGGATGGTGATGGCGGCCTGTATAAGTAATTATATAGCACCGAGAAAGGAGATTGAAAATGGATCTTTCACCACTTGATACCAGCACATTGTGAAAGTGTACACCAAACAAGGCTAATATATCATGTCCGCTACCATTTAAACCTCTCAAAGGTAAGGAGTGAGTTAATCGAGGTCGAATGAACATGAAACTTCAATCTAGACCAAGTTGACCGTACCAATTCAAAAGTACATAGATTACATCGCTATGACACATCGCATCGAAAACCCCCGATGGTCTAGTTGGTTATGGCGTTCGGCTGTAATGGTATAATTGTAACCGAAAAGTCACCAGTTCGATTCTGGTTCGGGGGACGTCCTTTTTGCAGTTTTTGGCAGGCTCATTTATTAGCCTGACGGCACCTATCTAGCCGCCGCTAAGTCGACACTCATCCTCATACTTCAACCACAACCGTACCTACCATATACTATCAAGTCAAACCGTGCATCTCATGTACCTCAAAACCCGCAATCCATCCCATACTCATACACACAATATACTACCAGTACAGTGTTCCAAATGAGCATTCCCCTCACTCTCCCCATCGCCGCCACAGCACCCAATAGCCCCCATATATAATAGGAACAAAGTAAACAAGATTGATGAAGAATACTCCAAGGATAGTAAGGACTATAATACTAGTTCTATTGAGGAAGATAGTCGGGTCTAGAAGAATATCTTATCAGCTGGTTACTGTATCCTTGTACAGTAGTACACAGCTGCGGCAGAAGGTCACACCAAGGGTGTAGAGAAGTAGAAGAACAAAGATAAGGATACGGTTAAATTATTCTTAGCTAGGCTGTAGGGGGAGAGACTGAAGTAATAGAGAGTAAATCACGCCTCCGAATCTCTTATCTATTAAGGTAATGCTACTGGCGAGACCCTCATACTTCAGGAAGAAGTGGGGCCATGCAGACTACAGTATTCAAGGCGCGAGGAGAAATGAAGGGAGGAGCCGATACCTCCTGTTCGGATGAAGAATACGAGGAGAAACTGGTAGTATTCTATTGGCTTCAACCCAGATGCGAGCTTTTGTTTGCTCCACGCATGGTGGTGCGAATACCTCAACAGACACTGAACGCAAACACCCCAATCAGCGTACAAACACTTTCTGCCAGAATCCTTATCACAGGCCCATTGCATCGAAGATCGGACTGATTTACAACTCGCAGATCCAGTTCACGAATGCATACACTGAGAATATCCAGCCGGTTATGGACGAGAATACATCCAGCAGAATGGCTTCGGAGACGACGGCTTCGAAGACGCCCACTGGGTTGTATAGACCCAATGATACTGTGAGGCCGTAGAATGCGTCGAATACCACCAGCCATGCGTCGGGACCACCTTCAGGGTATTCTGTGAGGTCTGAACCATTGTGACTGACAGAGAAGAGACAATTTCGGGGCAGGGGGGGCTTTTCGAGGTCACCGGTAGAGGGAACGCGCACTTCCCTGGTCACTTATCTATAGAATTTTTGCGACAGAGGTCGTGCAAGGAGTTACTGATGGTGACTCTATAGATTTGAGCAAGGCTCTATGATTCTTAGGATCCAGAGCTGAAAGGAACAGAAAAGAAATCATCATCGTGGTAGAAGATAACATCCATGAGGCTAGTAGCTTTCGTCGATCTATGAACTCAATGACCAATCAACGGCGGGCATGGATTACCTATTGAGTACAGAGTATAGACTATTGACTCGACCACGAAGATGCATTGATTGTGCCCAACCTGCCGCGCGTCTCCTCCGCGTCTTTGTGGTAGTTGTTCGCTTGATGACGGGTATCTGTTTCTTGTCATCTTTCGTCATCGTAAAGCAGAACTTTCTGCATCTCTACTCAAATGCCACGTGGGAAATGCGATGCCTTCTGAACAGCCCTTTGGATAGCCTTTTGTGGCGGCCATGGGTGCGCATCTGGCCCGGTCCGTTGAGCTTACTAGCAGCAGATAATCATGTTGGACTACGGCGAGATTGCTTTGGCCGGGCTAGAATACACAAGACACAGTTTCTATTGCCGCTCGTAGCTGCGCAAAATTGTCCCAAAGGAGGGGTGGGGAGCAACCCAACTGAATCTTTGATGACGACTCCATGTTTCATGATGTGAGCCAGCGATTGCTATAGCCCATGCGGTGGTGTCTGACACGATATCACCCCGCAGCACAGGCGGGACGTTATGATATCTTGTTGCGTTAGTGCTTACTCACTCCACTTCCCACCAGTGGTCTTCTCACTGGTCCTCTCGCGACGCGTAGGCGAAGCCAAGAATAAGTTGATTGAATGCTCGGACTAGTGGACAAGCAAGCCCGCTTTAACTTGTCCGATCGTAACAGACTAACGGTAAGGCTGCCGAGCATCAAGACTGCCCAAGAATTAATAATTTTCGGCAATGCGTCACTCGCAACCGAGCGGATGAAGAACAACCATTAGCTTTCCTTTTTCTTCACGCAAGACAAGCTTGGCCTGTATGTCGCATAATCAGAGAGCCGGGTATTAGGCGTGCCGTGAGCAAACCAACTGATGTAGCTGCGGGCGAGGTCCTGGAATGTAGGCAATCAACATACCGAGCTTTGTTTGCTTGCTGGGTTAATGACGAATTGGAGCCTATACGTAGACATACGTACACTTGGCCGGATTTTCTCGGTTAAGCGGGAATGTGCTCAATAAGACGCTCAACTGTAGGCCCCCCAATGTCCCCGATCTGTCTAGCAGAGAAAAGATCTGTCGTTGCTAATGACTAGGCTCTAACGATACCCAATGATATACTACTCACCAATTTCGAAGATGGTATCGTGTGGACCGGATGAATTTGAGTAAACCTGCCGGGGGGGACGAAACTGATAAGCACTAGACAAGTGAGGGAGTGAGCGTTATACCAAAGACAATGCCCTCTCTTACATACTGGAAGGCTCAGTGGTTACTATACCAAGTACTATAGTTATTAGTTTGTATGTGGGGGAATTGACCCCCACAGGAGGACTTAGCGGCTCGTCCCCCTTGCCCCGACGACTAAGAGCGGGGGCCCCCAACCCTATAGTGTATGTATGATCGCATTTGCAGGAATTCTGTACGAGATCCTCTGGCTAGCAGGGTCGAGATACACAGAAGAAGCCAAGGATGCAAGCCATTAAGCCAGGCGTTAGTGAGCATACCGATGCACGGGGGAGAGAAACATTCGGCCGAATCACGTCCTATTTCACCTGTTGTACCTAGTCCAATCCCTGTTAATCAACTAAGTATCCGAACAATACTTTTGTTGGGAACGTGGAAAGGAAGCTGAGGTGAGACGAGCTCTTGTCAGATCCCCAGCCTTATTCATGGCATTAGTCACTTTTATTCCCATTTAAGATGAGGACACACTATTATAAGGCAGAAGTTCACATCAGCCGGAAAAGCTCTTTACTTCTCCGCGAGCACTTGTGGTGGTAATTCTGCAATCTCAGATGAACGTGACGATGGAGGAGTCTCGCCGCTCAGCATGCTATCGCTGCCACTCCCAGAAACTCCGATGTGTGCAGTTCCGGGGCCAGAAGGGTTGCGCCCGTTGCAATCGAGCCGGGGCCGAGTGCGTCACCAGACCTTCCAAGCGAGTCTGTCACGGGAAAGCCTCTGGAAAAGGGAGGGATCGAGTCTCGCCCGAAGGCTGTTGTTCAACATGCAGCAGCAGCTTGACCGGCTCGAAAGCATCGGCTTCCGAACTGTCTACTTCTTATGGTCATAGCAAAGTACACTCCGTGTGTAAGTAGCCCGATGTCGGTTATGGCCCAGGGGTGGGATCATGAATGGTCACTGACAGCTGTCAGCGCATGCTCGTGACTCGGTGCCTCCGTGGGAGAGTCTGGATATCGATCCCCAAATCTCTTTAACGGCCGTGGATGACGGCGGGCTCTGCTCACCAGAGGCACTACACTTCGACTCCATGATCGGGTCAACGGGACCACTGCTATCTGGCATGACACACAGCAGAAGCCAGATTCGGTACTCCGAAGTTCGACTTCCGATGCATTGTCCCCGCGAAAAGAACACAACCCCATTCTGCTGCTGTCTCGTATCTTCACATTTCTGAATCCTTGGTCATTCCACTCTTACAGTGGCAGCCTATCTTGCCTTGGTCTAGATTATCTCCGAAGTCTCAATGGAACCCAGTGGCCCAACGCCAGAATCCACAAGCAAAGATGAACGGAATACTATCAGCACACAGCCCATACGGCTGGAAGCTCCGAAAGCGACCCTCGGCATAAGATTTTGGCTTGCCCTTTGGGCTATTGCCATCACCAACCTCGCGGCCTCCTTTGATGCGACTACATTATCTGTTGCTGATATGGGTGACGCTCAGCGACGCATTCGGCCGCCGTCCCGTCATGCTCATGGCACTGCTGATTTTCGCCATTGGAGCCATCGTTTGTGCCGTCTCCCATGACTGGACAACAATGCTTGCTGGCCGGACAGATCAAGGTCTCGGGGGTGGGGGGCTCATTGCCCTGACAACGGTCTTAATCACCGACCTAGTCCCTTTACGCGACCGTGGTCGCTTTTATGCATTGGTCAGTATTGTCTGGGCTGCCGGCAGCGCAACGGGGCCAATCATCGGAGGTGCGTTGGCACAGTCCGGGTCATGGCGCTGGATCTTTTGGATCAATCTGCCAATTGTGGGTATGGGCGTAGTAGGGATTGGGCTTTTCCTACGGCTGGCTCGACGCCGCCACACCTTGACGGAAAAGCTGCGCATGTTCGACTATCCCGGGTCAGCTCTTTTCATTGCATCAATCACTGCCCTTCTGATCCCCATAACCTGGGGTGGCGTACAATATGCATGGGCCAGTTGGCATACCCTGGTGCCATTGCTTCTCGGTGCTGCGGGCCTCGTCGGCTTCAGTCTCTATGAGCTTTTGGTAGCAGCACGGAGCAGGGACGTAGCCATCAGCGAGAGGCGACCACTCCTCATCCCGCCTGCGGTTATGTCCAACTGGACAGTGGGAATCCTCTACGCCGGGAGCACATTTCACGGCCTGATTCTCTACAGCTTGGTCTACTACATGCCGGAATATTTCCAGTCGGTCAAAGGATACAGCCCGGTCATCGCCGGCGTGGCTGCGCTTCCCCAGACGGTGACGATCGTTCCCTGTGCCATTCTAGTGGGAGTAATAGTGGGCATCACCGGCCGGTACCGCTGGGCAGTATGGGCAGGCTGGCTCCTCACCTGCTTTGGCATGGGGTTTCTCATTTTACTCGAATCCAACACCACGGTGGCGCAGTGGATCTTCTTGGAGGCTGTCTCCGGTCTCGGGATTGGCTTACTGTTTCCGTCAATTGCCCTGGCGATCCAATCCTCTGTGCCGCAGCGAGAGGTGAGCGTGGCCGCCACTCTAGTATTGTTCTTCAGGTCCATGGGACAGGCGATTGGCGTGGCGGTTGGAGGAGCAATCCTTGACAATCAGCTCCAGAGGCAGATCTCGGCGGCTTCACTGCTAGAAGACACTAGTTCCTCGCAAAGTGGGCTATCATTGAATGCTGTGACCCTTGTAGAGCTGTTGAAACATATCCCTTCAGACTCGTCAGAGGCGGTCGAGATTAGAAGGGCGCTGGTGGATTCGTTCCAGGTCATTTGGATGGTCATGTGTGGCTTTGCCGGGCTCAATTTGATTCTGAGCATCGGTGTCAAGGAGTTCGACATGAATCAGAATCACGAGACTGAGCAGGGCTTTGTGCACGACACAAGATGAATCCTTTCAGCAAGAGACGACACGAATTTCCTTGATATTTCCCCACCGTCCCATTCTAGTGGAGGAAACCGACAAGCACTAGTAGTAGTATTATTCCGATAGGTCAAGAGCGAACAAAATCATCATAATTAAGAATCTAGTCAACTTATTAGTGATTGATTATAGCAGTAGTTGCACGCCCTTGACAATTAACGCCCCTTCACCGCTAGTTTTCAATAGGCCAGGCGCCCACGGAGCCTGATGGCGGCTGTGAATGCAATGAACGCTTTTCTAGGTGGTTTGGTCGGTGATTATAGCCTGAGATAGGGAGGTAGTCGGTCAAAAGAAATCATGGTACAAATAACTGAACTGTGATATTGCATAAAAGCGGGCTGACATTTGACAGGTAAGTAGTTAACTAGTGAATTGATTGGTGCGCTGACTCAACCTCCTCTACAAAGAGACCTCAGCTTCTCCTCAGCTGCAGCTTACTTCCCCCACACACATCACTCCATTCTCTGGCCCACCTAAATCCAAATCTCTCCACCTCAAAAGCCGTTAGCACAGAACGAGTGGGGAATTACAATCCATGGCCGGGGAAGTTGATTTCCACCCTCTGCAGCCGATAGGCGAAGACATCCACTTCTTCCAGCTTCCCAAGCCACCAGAGAACAATGAACCCGCCCTGATCACCCTCTGTACCTGGCTAGGAGGCGCCACGCCCCCACGGATCCAGAAATACATCTCCGGCTATCGGGCCCTGTATTCGAGCTCCGCGATTCTTCTCATCACGACGCGGATCCTAGAAATCAGTGCACTCCCCTTCAGCGTCCTGCACGCGCGGTTGGCCCCGGCGCGGGAGGTGGTGCGGCGGGTAGTAGCCAGCAGCAGTAGCAGCAGCAGCAGCAGGAGCAGCAATAATTACGATGACAATAACCACCAATCAGTTCTTCTACACATCTTCTCACACGGTGGATGCAACACCGCCATTCAGTTAGCCCTCTCTCTGCAACAGGAGGATCCAAGACTTGAACTGGGACGATATCTGGGCGGGATCATCTTCGACTGCTGCCCGGGCGACACCTCCTTCGGGCGCGCGTACCAGGCGGCCGCGCACTCCTTAGCGCCGCGCTCACTGCTGGCGCAAACACTGGGAAGAGCACTACTTTACCCGGTAATTGGCGTCATCACGGGCCTCCAGCAGACGGGGTGGATGAGCTCCGTTCGAGGCCTGCGGGCGCAATTGAATGACCCGGCGGTTTTTGGCAAGACTGCGCCCCGGCTGTATCTGTACTCTACCGCAGATGCTATAGTCCGATGGGAGGATGTGGAGTCGCATCAGAGGGAGGCGGAAGTTGAGTTGGAGGAGTGTTGTACGGTGAAGAGGGTCGCGTTTCCGGATAGCCCGCATTGTGCTTTGGTGAGAGATCATCATGATTGTTATTGGACGGAGATAGAAAGGTTTTGGGCGGGTCGGAGGGGACTTGAGGGGGCTTTGGTAGTCCCCGCGGATACTTCCTTGCTTCGTGAGCCTCGGAGTAGACTTTGATGATGATGATGTAGAGCATGTTCTATTCATTCGGTCTTCTCCGGGGGGGCGCTTGAAGAATCAAAAGACAGTGGCTTCTCTTGTTATTCTGAGGCGGGCAAGGAAGAGTCTGACCTCTCTCCCCTCTCTCTCGGTTTGTCGTCGAATTACACACGTCACTCACTACCATGGCTTGGGTGATAAAGGACCTTCTAGAGTCGCAGCCGTCGGTACAGCGTCGTCCACACCAAACTGGCTGGGTATAGTATCTAACTTGTCTCTAACCGATACTCGAGCAAATACATTGAGCCTTGTAGACTGATAGTCGCTATGGTGAGTTACTTACTCGGTAAGATCCTCCTCAAGTTCCCACCGATGATCCTGCAGAATCCTACGTCATGTTTCGTGATGGCCATACAATGAAGACAGATACGAGCCTCAATCTGTGGACGAAACTGTCAGTTATCTTACCCTTGATCACTAGTCCAATGCGATGCAGCTTGCATAGAACGTCGAAGAGCTTGCTCCGGACGACTTCCCTCTGCCATCCTGGGCAGCTCGGGGATTCGAGACAAGCATGTTTGTCTCCCTTCTGGAAAAGATTACAGTCCCGGCAATCTGATCATGGCAAAACGTTGAGTCCGCAGGCTCGAGCAATTCGAACGGGCTGGCTTGCTCCAGGGGATGCGCATGATACTCGGTGATTGTAGCAGTTGAATTTGAAATGGATTTTAGAGCAGTGGGTCCGTACGAGAAGTAGCGGGGGACGGTCGACTCGTTGGATGTAGATGTATAACTACCTAGTGGTAGAATCAGTGGTCTGGCAATCCGGCAGTAGGTTTTCGGATTCTATAGTTTATCAAGCAAACTTGTTGAATGCTTTCATCACGCTTCGTCGTTGTATAGCAAACAACCTCCAGAGCCCTACCAGACCATACCTGCTCTTTAAAAACGGTTAAATTATGTCATACCTCATGGAATAGGGTGGGGAAATTCCTTTGGTGGTGAGAGCAGGAAGAGAATAAATTTATGTCAACCCTGCCAAGTCTACAGACTTAGAGCAAAAAGATGTCCCCCGAACCAGAATCGAACTGGTGACTTTTCGGTTACAATTATTCCATTACAGCCGAACGCCATAACCAACTAGACCATCGGGGGTTTCTATGTGATATGTCACACTTACGTAATTTATATTGTAAACCCCACTTCTATACCAAGATAGTTATATCATGCCGATGTGACAAAGAACAAGGCCAAACGACTCCACATTGAGTGGTGAAAACTCCGAGGTACAACTGTCCAGAGTCAAGGGGCAATGGTTGACCCATGCGGTACGTCGTGGCGATGACTCGCACGCTTGTTTGAGCTATTGATACCAAACACAACGGCTTGCGCGCCCCAAGCTCAGATCGAGTGATTGGTAGAGGATTGAGGGTTAGCTGCGGTCACTGTACCAGCACCCAGACGTTTGGGGCCCGATGACAACACTCACAGCCTGCTTCCCAGCCCTCTCATCTTTCTCGGATTCCCCCATGGCGGAGTCGCCTCCCCGAGCACCGTCTTTCCTTGAGGAGGCCGCCACATGGGCCAGTATCGCAGTGGCTGCATCTTCGCCTCGATATCCTGCCAGTCGGCATTCTGGGCCTCCACCTCTGTTGCGGGAGGTTGAACCGAGACACCCCCACTAAATGGAATGAACCCGTGGCGCTTGTAGATCGTCACCCCAATCGGTGTGACCGCTTCGAGCCACGCTTCAAGCCCCAGTTCGTCTGCCCGTCGACAGATCTCAGCCAAAACCATGTCTGCTAAGCCAAGCTGACGGTACTCGGGTAAGGCAAATCCAACGAATGCATCTACCGACCGTTAATTAGCAAAGCGCTCGTAGAGAACTACAGAAGGAGAGGGCAAGTCGGACATACAAAGATGTGGCTTCTGCATAAACTTCATATGCGGCTCGGAGAAGATCTCAATGCATCGCGTGATGTACTCCCGTCGCATTCCCTCCGGATACCAAACAGCAGCAGGAGGCGATTCGTCCTCTGGACTGCTGCCGCTTCCGCTTCCCTTTCCTTTTGGCGCATAGGGGTTCTGCTTGTGGATCTTGAAGTACACCCCAGCGACGAACTTATCGTCTCTTTCTTGGTCCCTGACCTGCAGAAATACCGAGCCCGGCTCCTCGCGAGCTCAGTCTCGATGCAGTTGCACTAGGTTCGTGAACGCTTCTTGTCTCTCCGCCTCTGATTCGCCCCCGAAGATCGGGTAGAAGAATCGGTAGATCGATTGGAACGGTTCATCGAAGCTAGCAATTTGACAGGCCACGAACTCGGAGAGTGCGTCGGTTGCCGGGTCTAGCTCGGATAGTCGAAACCGCATGGTTGTAGTTTAATTTTGCGGGGATGAGATGCTTCTTTCTTGCTATCGTAACTGTGCATCCGGTCGGCGATGGAAGCCATCCATCATGGGCCTTATATGTGCGCCCCTCTAGCATAGTCTTGGGCCTAGTTTGTCCTCGTTGGTTTGTTCATCGCTTATTTTGGCCATTGAATGCCCCGGGCTTGCCACTTGGCGGGACGCCAATGTATGTCCGCCCCATGACAGCAGCTCATATCGGCCTAGCTAGTGGAGACATAGGTTTCTGCTAGCGACAGGTCTGAAGACTCGACGCGAGCGACAGCCTATCTTGACGTTTGAAGCACACGGCCAGTTTTCAACCTCGGCCGAGCTGCTAGACAGGGGGCAGCCTAATTAGGTCCCCTGTTGGCATGAGGGTGACATGGCTGTGCGTGCCGATGGCATGCCGTGGGTGCATCTCCGATTTTGTGTACTGACACTTCGAAACTGTGGGTGTTGGAGCGGCATAGAAAAGAAGGGACTGTCTTGTGGTTGGTGTCGATACTGATGGATAGCGGGTGACTTGAGACCCGGTCGGGACAAAAAAAGATTTGGGGCAAGCCGGGCTTGAACCGGCCACCTTCAGATTACTAGAACAACTGTTCTGTGGCCAAAGTTAGAACTTCAGTCTGACGCGCTCCCAGATGCGCCATTGCCCCTGTTCGTTGAAAAATGCACCATACTCAAGAAACTTGTTGCGTTTGCGTCAGAGTGAGTCAGGGTCGCACAGCAGTGTTTCTCAATGTCGACCAGACCTGACAATCAGCTAAGATGGCAAATCGGTAGTTTTGAATTTACTGTACATTTTGGGACGTACAGCTGTACTAGCAATTGGTTAATTGGTGTCTTCTGCTCGAAACAGACAATCCTAAGGTGAGCCTGGAGGACTAACAGTGCCTTGTACAACCACCCTGTCCACCCAAAATATTGCAACTTTGTTTGTCAAGCCCTCCAAGTAGGGCTAATCTTTATACAGTTGGAGCTGTAACTTTATTCAATCAAGTTAGATCATGTTTTGAGATTTTCTTTACAGTTTCATCCTGACTTTACCTTGCGTGTATGGATGCACAGATCTCTTCCGGTGCAGAATACATTAAAGGCATGCGAACAGAATACTAACCCTGATATTTAGAAGCCTTGCTGTAAATCGTATGCTACATATGTCTTGCAATACCCTCTTGGCCTCCAATTCGTCAGGTTTGATATATATGCTATAAGCTTTACTAATCCAGCTGAAGCTGCTGCAACTTCTTCTCAATCTCTTCGAGGCCACCAATGACCTGGTAGTAGAACGCGTCCTGCAGTGCTGGACTCTGAAAGTTTGCATTGTGACTAAAGTTATAGTTAAGATACTTCTTGATAATCTTCTTGAAGTTTGTACTGATATGAATTTTAATATTTACCGTAAGCTGCTTAACGGTAACTAATATATTTGGGGAAGGATACCGTCTTCTGTCCGAAATCCATATCTTGCTTAAGATTATCAAACGGGGCCTGGTAAGCAAGCTCTAAGAACATGACTCCAAGACCAGAGATAACAGGGTTGCGAACAATAAGATCATACTCGGAAGGCACCTGGTTGCCACATTCTGATTGGGGACCTGAACGCATACACTTATATAGGGAAGTGCTTTGGAGCTGCAAAGCAGCAGAGCGCCATCTTTTACCTTTCCAAAGAAACATCTTTACTTCACCAATTTCTGTTGAGCCAGGGCGTGGTATAATAGTATAGAACAGCTGTGGCGAGGTACTTTGCTAGGCGCACACAATCACATGGTCCTGATGATTTAGCAGAGTTGGATTTGGACAGCAACATCAGCTCATATGAAGAAGCTGAGGTAGAGGCCTTCTCCGTATATGCATTCATATATATGAGATGCCTGCATACTGTATTATCATCAAGAATACCGATACAATTATTGCAGAGTATTAGCTGCGCATACAGCTGCCGCTGAGCTACACTACAAAGATTTTACTAAAGAAACAAGTGCGGTACATCTAATCTAAGTATCATAGAAAGAGAAGCCATCATGGACTCTTATACAGAGTAAAACCTAGTGTGCTTCCTCTTATTTGTCAGACTTCTTCCATCCTCGTCGCTAGGATGCTTACCAGGCATGGTTTCTGTTCTAAGATATTACAGAGACAATACCTAAGTACTTGACCTTGTAGTCTTGATTAGAGACTCCACATTAACTTATATAGACTAGGAGTATTCTCTTGTATCTGTATTACCTATACCCAAGGCCACACTGAAGTCGAGCTGGGTAGATATTCTAAGGCGAGATTGAAGTAATCAACAAGTATTGTGCAGTAGATAGTAAGTACATAAATTCCCTAGAGCATCATACAAGCTGTTTGCTACTTTCTAGACAATCCAAAAATACTCCACACTCTGGCTAACACAATTATAGTAGAGACTAGCGGCTCCATCTTCAAATTAGGCTCTCTGTACTCGGGAACCGCCGATGAGAACACTCAAATCAGTGAGCCGAGGTCATCATGTGAGCCCTTGAGCTGTCAGCCCAAGCGTGAGTTTGATAGAGATGTATTTCCTTACCTTAAGCTTATCCATGTTATTCTGGTCGCACGTTTTGCTACCAGTGGAACAACTGGTTGAGGCGAATTGGGAAAAGATCGGTTCGGATGATGAGCCAACGCTGAGAAAGGCAACGAGGATGAATTGGGCTCGGTCCGCCCCGGCTGCCGCTATGGCCTTTTTCAGACCGTTTCGATCTTTTATGACTCGGACCTTGGAACATCTGTCCCCGCCAGGTCTCATTATGCCAACCCTGTCGCCTCACATAGTCCATATATAACCATGGCAGGATAAGAGGACGAGGGTAGACCCCGCGTTCCTCCATTACCTCTGGAAGGCCAGAACTACCAGGCCTTTCAATGCCCGTTCTGCGGTACCCACATGTTGTGTAAGGATAGAATTGATTGGAAGTAAGGATATCGACTAATTCATGTTTGTAGGCGTTGGGGTTAATGGATTCCAGGAGGCATGTATTTGCAGACTTGCAAGCGTACGTCTGCACCCACGATAGTTACCTGCAAGGATGTCATGAGGACCTTTGCAACTCGAACACTATGGGCCGACCATGAGTTAGTTCAAGAATCACCCTCCCGACAAGCAATGGGCATGTTTTGCTTCCAGCATGACGCAAGATTCTCCCCAGGGATTTATTTATCATCTAAGAGCAGCCCATGACATCGAGCTGAACGAGCCCCGTTGGCAGCTGGAAAAATCATCACGCGCATAGAAGTTGCTCAGAAACCTGACTTGGAAGATCAGGTCTGCTAGTTGTATTTGAAGTCTGGTTGGCAAGCTATAAAACCCTATACCACCCATGTTGGAAGACATCTAGAAGAAATTTCCCTGACTTGTCTACCGAGACTATCGGACGATAATTGACTCTCCAACTCCAATACATCGCAAGAGTCTGTTATAGCTACCACGACGCGCAGCTCTGCCAGGTTTTAAAAAGAGGAATCCCATATATCGAACAGCGGTCCTGACCACGTATCCACCCTGGATACAGTTAGTGATCTTGGAGTCTCTACTACAATCGAGACAGGCTGAGCGAGGCAGAGGCCATACACCGACGGGCACTCCAGGGCCGTGAGGAGGTCCTTGGTTCGGAGCATCCGACACTCGTACTAGTCATAGTAATCTTGGTTCAGTACTTGATAAGCAGGTAAGTATAAGGAGGCGGAAACTATATACCGACGGGCACCCCAAGGGTATGAGAAGGTGCTTGGCCCTGAGCATCCTTATACTCTGACAAGTATGCACAGCTTTGCCCTTACTCTGAAGACGCAAGAGAAGCTCTATAAGGCCCTCAGTCTTCTCAGGCAATATACCAACCAATACATCAAAATATAAGACTCAGATCACCCAGACACTCTAGCCTCATCAATACCCTCGTCGCCTGGGAAGTAGCAGCCAACCGGCTCTCCAAACGCCAGGACCAACAAGCTTCACCAGACACAACTTCTTCTCCGCCACCGGTGCACACTAACACCGGCGATTATACTGCATCCGATTCATAATCCGCACGCTGCAAGCGGCGAACCTTCCTGGGTATTTTCTGGACGACGGCGATTTGTGGTTGTACGTAATGTTTGTCCTCTTCCTTGGCTGAACGAGCCACTTAAGACAATGACAAGTAGTCTAGGTCTCGGATTCAAGAAAAAAGGCAATTTTACTTAGCCTTATTACTGTAAATATTGCTGCCTAGTATTCTGAGTTTTCTTGAATCGCATCTTTAGGTGATAGTACTATAGTTCCGCCGTGTACTTATTTTTGGGCACTGGATGCATACGGACTAAGAAATCAAGGCTTATGAGCAGTACGCTCGGGGCTACTAGTAGTGCTCCTGGCTGAAGGTTAGGGGAACAATTGGAATTGCACATTTATGGCTGGGCAGGGCAGTTGTGCAAGGCACTGTACACTGGAGTGTTTCTTAACATATGAGTACTTTGAGGTTCATTCATCCAGGTCGGCGTCTTAGCATTGTTTGGGTTGCGGGCCCAGGAGCAGTCAGATCTATCCATCATTGGAGTTTACGTTGATTATTGACGGAACACCGTCTCCGGTTCTCTAATTGGCTGGATGGCTCAACGCCTCCGGCCCGATGTACGTACCGGTCCAATCCGTAGGTAGGCAGCTGAATACAACAAGATCAACCATCTCATCATTTATGACTCTACATTGCTTTGCTTTGCTTGGTATCCTGTTCGGGCGATGATCGGTGCGCTTGGGTGAATACTAATGGAGGGAAGCGATGATGGGATGCAGCACGAGGCGGTATCAGCCGGCAGATCTCACCATTGGCAGGAAGCCCTACCTGCCTCGCTAGGCGGCGAGACGTGTCAAAAAAAAAAAGAATACCGCCGATGTCCACTTTCATCGGTCGAGCCAGTAGCGAGCGCATGCAAGTCAAGAAAAAAAAAAAAAGAAAATGTTGGGGCAAGCCGGGCTTGAACCGGCCACCTTCAGATTACTAGAACGATTGTTCTGCGGCCAAAGTTAGAACTTCAGTCTGACGCGCTCCCAGATGCGCCATTGCCCCTGTTCGTTGTGAATGAACCCATTCTTTGACTACTTGACTGGAAACAAGTCCATCGCAGCCGAAGATACCCTTGGTAGTTGCGATAGGGAGATGATTCAGTGTTAGATCGCCTGGAGGCAGGAAGGGCAATAAAGCCTGATTGCACGGCGTGGATCATTGTCATCTTCGTTCTTCGACATGTGTCTGACAAGTGCAAATGCCTGCGTACGTGGGGAATGTGTGTGCTAGAACAGGATGATGTTCACATGGGCGTGGAGCACTCGCTGCCACCGTGAATATATACACCGGTCACAGTCGTCAACGGGTACCATCAACAATTTTCCCACAGGGCCATGCACCAGAGGGACAGCGCATCAGATAGACGGCAACACAATCAGCCAAAGAAAATACCCACATAGGACCTTAGACTGTAGTAGCCAAGCCACGCATATACCAACAGGCCACCTAGTGGGAAGTTATTCAACCGACCTTTGTCACTACTATAAAACGGTGGTAATCTCGACGGCTTCTCCATCTTTTTTTCCTCCCTCTCCTTTCAAGGGATTAAGAGGTCATAAACGAACCACAGAACGGGGTGACTCAGCTCATATAGCGAGACAAAAATCAATTGAACATTGCATATAGCAAAATGAAATGATTGGAATGGCTCAGTGTCTGTCTGATGCGGCAATGCAATAAGATGCAAAAAAGGAATTTGGGGCAAGCCGGGCTTGAACCGGCCACCTTCAGATTACTAGAACGATTGTTCTGTGGCCGAAGTTAGAACTTCAGTCTGACGCGCTCCCAGATGCGCCATTGCCCCGTTTCATATTTTCTTGGCTTTATTTTGTAGCATATAACCTACTTTCTACAGACACCAACTCTCTCACACCAAAGAGACTGAAACAGCTTGCCCATGCCCTTATCGAATCACGTACACAGTGTTGGTCCAGGGAAAAAAATTATCGGCGCATGACATTGGGGTCACTAACAGTATTGGTAGCAGAATAAGGTACCGAGTTTCATTTTAAAACACTACAATGAGTTTCTCGTCGGTACAACATATGTGAGTCTGACCGATCACCAGCAACGCAGAGAACCTATAACTAACCAATGCGAGAGTGACAATCATCTGCACTACATGAGTCAGGGGCTGAGCCAGCACCCTGAGATCAAGCAACAAGATTGATGGGTCTTCTTCATGGCACACTGTGCGTGATTCACGGTGAGTCTGTGAGCGCTGTATAGACACATGCATGATCTAACATCGCATGGACTATACCTCGTCACCACAGAGAAAGATATTCCAGAAGACCAGAAAGCTTACGTCTTGATCGAAGGCCGAGATCGAGACTCATCAATTGCTACTACTACTACCTATGAACCAGCATTACTGCTCAAGCGTCGGCCCTAGAGACGCGGAGGCGAACCAACCGATGAGCTGAAACGAAGAAAAGAGAACTGAAACGAGATAAGGAACCGTCCAATCAGACAGAACCAGTCACTACTCTCACTTTCCAGACAAGCGAAAGAGCCAGACGATGAGTCATAGAGAGCAGGTATGAAGCAGAAACCCTCCAATGTAATCTCAAAATTCCGGAAAACAGTTGATCAGCCACGACCATGACGAGCCGTCGCCGAACAAACGTGCTTCCTGGATTCTCCTACACGACAGAATCGTGATACTTGGTTTGACCCCCACTCATCCATTTACTATACTGTCCACGCCAGCAGACTACTGATTTGACTCGGAATATTGGATGAACTATCTAGAACATTTGACAGACCTACTGTTGGATTATCAGACCATCTGTAGCATGACTAATCAACAAACACCCCCGATGGTCTAGTTGGCTATGGCGTTCGGCTGTAATGGATTAATTGTAACCGAAAAGTCACCAGTTCGATTCTGGTTCGGGGGATCTCTTTTTTTTCTCTCTCGAACGAGAAGCCAGTCGTGTCGGAGATTGTCTCTTGGGAGACTCACAGATCATATCCGCAAGAGCCCTTGGTCCCACGCAAGACTCTTGCTTTTCCCCTGCGAGTTGTTGAGATCTCCGTAGAAGGATCTCCATCTGAATCTAAGCTTGAGCATCTATACCTTGTCGAGACCTAGACCCTCTCAGATACCCAATTGCTCAAACACCCTTCTGCTTCCCAATATCTTGCTGCATCGGATGGACAACTCAATAGATGGTGTGTGGATTTATACTTTTTTCGATCGACTGGATCTTGTCTGAATTAGGAAGCTGCAAGGGCAAACAACGTGCCCGTGCCATGTACGGCAACCGCGACCGAAGCATGCTTACCACTTCAACCGCCTGGTTTGTGTGTATAATGTCTTAGAGTGTGCCAAGGCTTCAACAAACCCCCGATGGTCTAGTTGGTTATGGCGTTCGGCTGTAATGGTATAATTGTAACCGAAAAGTCACCAGTTCGATTCTGGTTCGGGGGACACCTTTTTTTTTTTTTTTGTCTCAAACATCTTTTTAACATTCACAGGCCGCCCTATGTTTGTCCAAACCCGCACACCCGCCATGACATGTCTAAGCCAAATGCATCTCTCCAGTCTTTGTTTTTGGCCTGGGTCAAGACGGGTTTCTGGATGGAGTTGAGAATCAGACTTAATACTCATACCGTAACATCCGCATAGCGTAGCGGTTAAATGAATGGAACGGAGAGCTAGTGTACGAGCAGAGCTTGGACGACTGGTACCGCTGGTGTGGGTGGGCTACAGATACATATACCGTACTACTGCTCGATGAGAGCAAAGGTGTGTATACACCCTTCTGACACCGCGTGAATTGCCCTCAACCCTTTTGACGGTACCAGTACAGTGCGCGTGCCTTTTGAAGACATATGTGGTCAGCGCAATGAATGCACTTTCTGGACCGAGACCTTTTTTTGTGCTAAATCCGACTAGAGCAGCGGATGAAGGGATGAAGGGCTGCTGAGGTACTATGGATGAGCACCTGGTCTCTAAGGTAGCTTGACGGGAGGATATTGTAGAGGAACATGGTAGACCGAAAGATTAAGCCACTGTTGTACCTCGCTACAACTGTCCCTTTCAGCCACTTTCCCCTGCTTAGTGACTCGAAGTCACGGAGAGAGTTGAATAACGAGCCCTCACGGCCCACGCAAGCAGCATAGTCGCCAGCGGGTGACCACTGCATTTTGGTTCCTCATAGTTATGAGAATTGGCGTTGCTGTTCGCCAGATGACTATCTGACTAACCAGAGGAGAATTGTCACTATGAAGAAAAGAGTTCGTCTCGAGTCTGCACATTCAACTGCTTTGAGACGATCTCTATAGTAAGCCAATACTTTATTAGCCACAGCCACAACGTGCGACGTCGCTTGGTAGCCGGAGTGTGACAGCATCCGCTCTCGGCTCATCTCACAGCGCATTGGCGGTGCTTGCTAACCAAGTGACCTTGCCATCGATCTCTTGATAAGGCACTATCAGACCCTTCAGCTGGAACACCCTGCGTTGAAGATTGTCGAAGGGGATTAGCATATCGTATCCGGCCCGGCCCCGTGGTAGAATCCGGACTGTTATGGTTCGTATATGACATCTAGTGGCTCTAGAAACAATGCAACAATTCAGGTATGGATATTCGCGACCCAATACGTTTTCAGCCGAGCGATAGCGTTAAAAGTCATTGGGAGGCTCCATTTGAGACAACCAATGAAGATAAGTTCATGACAGGCGCGGGGTAGACTTACACAGCTCCTTGAGCATCCTCGTCTATACGTACCATCCCGGTCAACATGTCAGTGAGGCCAGGCTGCGAACTCAATCTCGCCAAAACCTCCTGTGCCCAGCTCAACAT